GTCAGATTGCACATAATGACTAGAAAATATGTGAATCCTAAAAAGTAATGAGTAGATACAAAATGCACACATTTCCAATAATACATGCTTTTGCTAATTTTGTATTTGTCTTTGAATGGGACAGTCCAGTAGCATCTTTTGAAGGTGATGACTTTGTTTTCTGTCTCTTTAAATCTGACTCCAACATTTGCTTCTAATACATGGAAGGAACACCCTTTGTCACCAAGGTAAATTCCATTTGTTCAGCTGTCTCAATTATTTCCACCTTCTGACGCTCCTCCGCCACCCTACCTCATTTCTCCTTCCTACCAGGCCTTCACTTTGCTCTGCTTGTCTCTTTTGCAGCCTTTTACACGGTCAATCACAATGTCATTCCTCCTGCCCCACTAGAAAAGTTTGGACCTCAGCTTGACCAGACTTATTCTTCACTACTGTGATGGTACTGGATCCCTATCTTTCCTAACTTATTAGGGAACATTGATAGGTCTTCAAAATGGGTTAGTTGCTTTAAAAAGTAGTTGACTAGATCATTGTTCTTTCACCTTCGATTTCTATCCGAACCCACTGCAACTGATAGCGAAATTTTGGTCTTTCAGTGGCAGCATCCTATCTTGCTGATTTTTCCAGTTTAAATTCTGTAAAGTCTATACTTGTTGGAGGAAGGAGGAGAAATGCTCATACTATGCAAAAACTGCACAGTTTGCAATTAACATATACACTTTTATAAGTAGATCTCGTGATTTTGACCTTTTAAAAGTAAGCGGTGATTTCTCATATGCCTTGTGTAAACCTTGACCATGCTTTTTTTAGGTATCAGAACCAAAGTAGACATAGTCTACAATTGCATCGAAAACCAGAATTCATTATCCCATTCAAAAAAAGTTGCACTTACCATATTTCCTCCTGTTCTAAGATGGGAAGAAAGTAGAATTTTGATTTTTGGGGGCAGACTATGACCAACCTGAGAAGAAAAATGAACAATGCATGTGTAAATGGAATGCAAGGACCAACTTCTAGAGTGGACATTGAATAAGTGAACAATTGGGTCTTGGGTCCTCGAACTTGCCTGGGGTGCGACAAGGAGGCTTAGTAAATACCAAACAGACGCTTGCAAGTGCAACCTCATTGCGGCTCCCTGAACATCAAGCACTAAGACAATGGCTGGGGGCCATCAGAATGACTTTTTCTGAAGGTGTAGCTGTTCTCTTTCTTTGCCCCTGAGCATAGAACATAGAACATAGAACATTACAGCGCAGTACAGGCCCTTCAGCCCTCGATGTTGCACCAACCTGTGAAACCAATCTGAAGCCCATCTAACCTAAACTATTCCATTATCATCCATATGTTTATCCAATGACCATTTAAATGCCCTTAAAGTTGGCGAGTCTACTACTTTTGCAGGCAGGGCATTCCACGCCCTTACTACTCTCTGAGTAAAGAACCTACCTCTGACATCTGTCCTATATCTATCACCCCTCAATTTAAAGCTATGTCCCCTCGTGCTAGCCACTATCATCCGAGGAAAAAGGCTCCCACTGTCCACCCTATCTAATCCTCTGATCATCTTGTATGTCTCTATTAAGTCACCTCTTAACCTTCTCTCTAACGAAAACAGCCTCAAGTCCCTCAGCCTTTCCTCATAAGACCTTCCCTCCATACCAGGCAACATCCTGGTAAATCTCCTCTGCACCCTTTCCAATGCCTCCACGTCCTTCCTATAATGCGGCGACCAGAACTGTACGCAATACTCCAAGTGCAGCCGCACCAGAGTTTTGTACAGCTGCAACATGACCTCATGGCTCCGAAACTCAATCCCTCTACCAATAAAACCTATCACACCGTACGCCTTCTTAACAACCCTATCAACCTGGGTGGCAACTTTCAGGGATCTATGCACATGGACACCGAGATCTCCCTGCTCATCCACACTACCAAGAATCTTACCATTAGCCCAGTACTCTGTATTCCTGTTACTCCTTCCAAAGTGAATCACCTCACACTTTTTCGCATTAAACTCCATTTGCCACCTCTCAGCCCAGCTCTACAGCTTATCTATGTCTCTCTGTAACCTGCAACATCCTTCCGCACTATCCACAACTCCACCGACTTTGGTGTCATCCGCAAATTTACTAACCCATCCTTCTACGCCCTCATCTAGGTCATTTATAAAAATGACAAACAGCAGTGGCCCCAAAACAGATCCTTGAGGTACACCACTAGTAACTGAACTCCAGGATGAACATTTCCCATCAACCACCACCCTCTGTCTTCTTACAGCTAGCCAATTTCTGATCCAAACCGCTAAATCCCCCTCAATCCCATGCCTCCGTATTTTCTGCAATAGCCTACCATGGGGAACCTTATCAAACGCTTTACTGAAATCCATATACGCCACATCAACTGCTTTAACCTCATCCACCTGTTTGGTCACCTTCTCAAAGAACTCAATAAGGTTTGTGAGGCACGACCTACCCTTCACAAAACCGTGTTGACTATCCCTAATCAAATTATTCCTTTCTAGATGATTATAAATCCTATCTCTTATAATCCTTTCCAACACTTTACCCACAACAGGAGTAAGGCTCACTGGTCTATAATTACCAGGGTTGTCTCTACTCCCCTTTTTGAACAAGGGGACAACATTTGCTAGTCTCCAGTCTTCTGGCACTATTCCTGTAGACAATGACGACAAAAAGATCAAAGCCAAAGGCTCTGCAATCTCCTCTCTAGCTTCCCAGAGAATCCTAGGATAAATCTATTTTCACACCTTCCAGAATTGCTAACACCTCCTCCTTATGAACCTCAGTCCCGTCAAGTCTAATAGCCTGTATCTCAGTATTCTCCTCGACAACATTGTCTTTTTCCTGTGTGAATACCGACGAAAAATATTCATTTAGCGCCCCTCCTATCTCTTCGGACTCCACGCACAACTTCCCACTACTGTCCTTGACTGGCCCTAATCTTACTCTAGTCATTCTTTTATTCCTGACATACCTATAGAAAGCGTTAGGGTTTTCCTTGATCCTACCTGCTAAAGACTTCTCATGTCCCCTCCTGGCTCTTCTTAGCTCTCTCTTTAGGTCCTTCCTGGCTAACTTGTAACTCTCAAGCACCCTAACTGAGCCTTCACGCCTCATGTCTACATAAGCCTCCTTCTTCCTCTTGACAAGAAATTCAACTTCTTTAATAAACCACGATTCCCTCGCTTGACCACTTCCTCCCTGCCTGACAGGTACATACTTCTCAAGGACACGCAGTAGCTGTTCCTTGAACAAGCTCCACATTTCAATTGTGCCCAGTCCCTGCAGTTTCCTTCTCCATCCTATGCATCCTAAATCTTGCCTAATCGCCTCATAATTGCCTTTCCCCCAGCTATAACTCTTGCCCTGCGGTATATACCTATCCCTTTCCATCGCTAAAGTAAACGTAACCGAATTGTGGTCACCATCACCAAAGTGCTCACCTACCTCCAAATCTAACACCTGGCCTGGTTCATTACCCAGTACCAAATCCAATGTGGCCTTGCCTCTTGTTGGCCTATCTACATACTGTGTCAGGAAACCCTCCTGCACACATTGGACAAAAACTGACCCATCTAAAATACTCGAACTATAGCGTTTCCAGTCAATATTTGGAAAGTTAAAGTCCCTCATAACAACTACCCTGTTACTTTCGCTCCTATCCAGAATCATCTTTGCAATCTTTTCCTCTACATCTCTGGAACTTTTCAGAGGCCTATAGAAAACTCCCAACAGGGTGACCTCTCCTTTCCTGGTTCTAACCTCAGCACATACTACCTCAGTAGACGAGTCCTCATCAAACGTCCTTTCTGCCACCGTAATACTGTCCTTGACTAACAATGCCACACCTCCCCCTCTTTTACCACTTTCCCTGATCTTACTGAAACATCTAAACCCCGGAACCTGCAACAACCATTCCTGTCCCTGCTCTATCCATGTCTCCGAAATGGCCACAACATCGAAGTCCCAGGTACCAACCCATGCTGCAAGTTCACCCACCTTATTCCGGATTCTCCTGGCATTGAAATAGACACACTTCAAACCACCTTCCTGCCTGCCGGTACACTCCTGCGACCTTGAAACCTTATTCACGATCCTGCGACCTTGAAACCTTATTCCCGATCCTGCGACCTTGAAACCTTATTCATGAGTATTATTGAAACCGCATGCGTAGCTAATGCTGCTGCTTCCTCTCTAAACATATGTGTACGGTTTGCTCCTGAATAAAACACAGAAATAGAGAGAATAAATGGCTGATGTGTACACTATTTTCCCTATTACCTTGTACATTCCTTTGGACACTCTGTAATGTGTGCCATGCAGGTGTATTTCAGTTGAATGAAAGTCTTCAGCATTAAGTGTTGGAAAGTTGATCCATCAACTATTTGTCCAATAACTGATGTCTTCTATTTTTATTTAAAAGTCAAATTTATGGCATGTTTGAAATATTGCTCAACTGACTCTTAAGGATGGGGATGTAAGAATTCTGTCAGCTGCAGTTGGTTGGATTTTGAAGCAGAACAACAGGAACTTCATTGTGCATCTTTCTCTGTCATAACAAACCAAATAGAAGCACATTTTACTTTATCTATTTTATCCACCTTTTCTCACATGATGAAAATGTGAGCCTTTAACCCCGTTTAGATTTGTTATAAACATTTCTGCCTGTAAATTGCTCAGTTGTTTTTCATTGTAAATAGTTTCCACAAGCATATTTAAGGTAGCCAATTTCTATTTTAATTTTCCTTCTACGTGACAACGTTCTTCCTTTTTCAGGTCATGGATATCACAAAGAAGACAGTCCTTTCCTAAACAAAACTGACAGCATAAAAGGAAATGAATATTATGACAGAAATTTGGCCTTATTTGAGGTAACATTTTTAAATAAAGTCAAATTGTGCTTAACATTCAGAATGCTCTGCTTTTGTTTGAAATTTTGACTTCACGTCCACGATGGTTGTCTGAAGAGGGATCTGAATAGTCCCATTCCTCTATCCTATAGCTCTGCAAGTTTAATTCTCTCAAGTGCTTACTCAGATTCCTTCTGCAATCAAGAAAATGGCTTATCGATGAGTTCCATGTCATTGTCATCATTCAAAGCGTGGGCAAAAAGCTTTTTTCTCCCCCTGCATCTTTTCACCAAAACCTTAAAGATGTGTCCATTGCAGTCATTGTAGTATTAGCTAATGGCAACAACTTTTCTAAACCTGCCATAATTTTATATGTCTCTACCAAATCTATTCCAAACTCCTTTGCTCCAAGGAGAATATCCACAATTTGTTCATACTAACCATATGGCCAAATTACCTCATTCCTGGAATCAATCTGATAAACTGCCAGTGCACCCTATCAAGGACCTTCACATTTTTCTTGAAGTATGATAACTAGAATTAGGTGCAGTACTTTAGTTCTGGTCTAACCACAACTTTGTAAATGTTCAGCACACCTTCCCTGCTTTTGTACACAATTCATCTCTATATGAAGCCCAAGAATCGCATATCTTTTGCTAATCATGCTAAAAATGTTCTGTAACCTTCAAATGTCTAAGATCTCCTCTGTCTCTGCCCACTCTTTAGAATAATAATATAAAAGATAAAGGTAAGTGTCACCTTAGACTTAGAAGACCATATGGCTGTTCTCTCATTAGAGAGAGACACAACTGGTGGTGGTTTAACCTGAGGGTCACCACACCTCAGACGAGGGAATAGATTGAAAAGGTGAGAGACCTTCATGGTCACCTCAGCTATTACAGGAATCGAACTTGCACTGTTGGCATCAACATGCAATGTAACCAAGCCATCTACCGAACTGAGCTAATTGATTATAAATATATGGTTCAGTCTAACTCTTTGCCTTAAGAAAAGCTTTGGATTGTATTGTTCTTGGAAGCTGTGCTGTTTTTGTATTATTCTAGGGCTTTTCAATGGTAATCTGATCTAAATTCTTTGTGCTTGGGCACATTGTCAAAGCTATCAGACTAAAGCCTTCATCTATAAGGAGCAAACCTTTTCCTAGATATCTGATTGTGAGGGAATTACTGAGTAATTTATTCCAATAGTGTCCCGTAAATTTGCTGGAATGAACCATGATTGGTATTCTGGCCATTATCTTAATGATTGCCCAAAGTTTTACTTATCGCAGTTTACAATTCAATCAAAGAGAGCAGCATGGATTCTTTTTCCCATGAAAGAACACACTGTTTCAACACATGAATATAGTTGAACCTGATTATATGATGTGGAATTTTTTTATTTTTACCTGAAGTTAACCACTAAGTTTGCAAAGATTTAAGCCCATTTCACTATCAGTGTAATTTATTTACATTCAAGGGATCAATAGAAAATTCAGAACCTAAGAATCAGACAAAGAAAAGCAATGACAGAAGATTGCTTACCCTAATAAGGAAAATCATTCCTCCACATTTCTGTTTTAAATTGCACCCTAGCAAATGCATTTTAGTTCACTGGATTTTGTGCTGGTTCAGTATGCATGGTTTAAATTTTCTGTCTCTTCTGCAGGAGGAACTGGACATTCGACCAAAGGTATCATCACTCCTCAGCAGATTGGCTAATTACACAAACATCACTCAGGGAGCAAAGGAACATGAGGAAGCGGAAAGTGCAGAAAGTTCAAAGAAAAGAACACCTAAGGTATTTATGCCTCAGATTATTTTGTTGGCATTATTATTTTTACTGAAGTTTTATAAATATGAATGTTGCAGCCAACCATGGATCTTGAGACTTTTGATAAAATTGGGCGGCATAGTGGCTCGTTGGTTAGCACTGCTGCCTCACAGCATCACGGACCTGGGTTTGATTCCAGTCTCGGGCAACTGTCCATGTGAAGTTTGCCCATTCTTCCCGGGTCTATTTGGGTTTCCTCCGAACATCCAAAGACGTGCAAGTTAGGTGGACTGGCCATGCTAAATTGTCCAGAGTGTCCAGGGATGTGCAGGGCAGGTGGATTAGCCATGGGAAATGCAGGGTTACAGGGATAAGGTAGGGGGCGGGGGTCTGGGTGGGATGCTTTTCGGAGGTTCGCTGTGGTCTCGATGGGCTTTCACACTGTAGGGATTCTAGTGTTGAGAATGAGCTGAGTGATTGACGGTTGAAGACATGCTTCATGCCATTACTTCAGAACACAGGTTTTTTTTATAAAATGTACTTCAGCATAACATGTCTGTTGTATTTGTATTGCATATATTTGTATATTTGCACAATTAAATGTTAAGTGTGCGGCTCTTTGTTTCTGTGTGGATATATTCATTGATTTTACATCTCCATCTGTTTCAGAATTGAGCATTCGTTTAGTGCAGTAGGGCATTCACTGATCACAAGTTTGGAATTATTCATATGATCTTTGATAGGTTCTTCAGTCCTTACTATCAAACTGTGGAGGAGTTGATTTGACGCAGTAAGCCTTCATGGCCTGTCACAGGATATCGTTAGTAACCTTAAGTGAACTAGGGAAACTGAATCTTAAAATTGTTTCTAAAATCTGGTAAATCTGTGTGCACATCTGTGTAACCAGTTGCTTAGCAGGCTTTCTATATGTAAAAATATCTCTTTCCCCACGACTATAGAAATATTGTATGTTGTGGAAATTCAGATACTGTTTTGCAGTCCAGTGTTTCACAAACATTGTGCCTTCAGAAATGTGACCACATTTATTCCCTAGATAAGTGGACCATAGCTGACTTTGACAGAACGAATGCACACGCTGTGAAGTCCTGCAAGAGACCTGAGCATTGAAACTGCGTTATCATTTAATAAGGTCCAAACTTCTATTACCGAAAGATAGCTAAATTTTCATGCACAATCTCTTCCTATAAAGTGTAATTTTACTAACCACTACATTTTGGTTTGAAACTTTCAAACTGGGTAGGCTGCACTCTATATTTGGAAGAAACAAGTGAGACTGGGCTTTTAAGGCTCGCCTTTCATCAGGAAATGCATTAGGCAATTTAACAAAAGTAAGTCATACTGAAAAGAGACATGAAGCCACTGCCCAAATAAGTGCATGTTCAGAGGCATGGTCATGGTTAAGTATCTTCAACAAAACCTAGACTATAGGTGGGATTTCATGGATCTGAAGTTAGTAATCTGGCCATTGACTAATCAGCTCTGGCATTGCTAGAAGCCTCTGGTGGAGAAAACTTAACATTATTCATCTTTCAGAAATAAATGAAAGGTGAATAAAAAATGTTCAGGATTGTATGTGGAGTGAAAGGCAGCTCCAGAATGACATCTGTAAGAGGGTGTGAGCACAGCTTGTGCTTGAGGCAGCAGAATTATTATTTTTGTTAAAAACATCCAAACTCTCCTTCATTGATTCTGTCCAGAATAATGTCAGTGCAAGAAATAAAAAAAAAGCAGTTAATTTTAAACAAAACTGTTGTGTACATTAGTAGGAATTATCATTTTAACATTTTCTTCTTCACACCTTCTATATTTAGTCCATTAAAGTGTACATTAACATATCCAACTCATTTGCAGTGTAATTCTGATCTACAAGACTATTTGAAGACCGTGTCTAGAATATACTGAGAAGTACAGCTTTTTTTTTCCCCATTTACTAGCAAAGGTTTGTGGCAGACATAGAAATGAAAAAGTAGACAACTAATAAAATATGCAGCTTGTGATTACAAATTATTTTGAACTGTAATTTTCTTTCCCCCCTCTTAGTCTCCCAATATGGGAACCCTGATGGGAGTATACTTACCTTGCCTACAGAATATCTTTGGAGTGATTCTGTTTCTACGTTTGACATGGCTTGTTGGAATTGCAGGGATCTTGCAATCTTTCTGTATTGTCTTCATGTGTTGCTGTTGTGTAAGTATCTGATATCTGTACTTCATTGTAATGACTTGTTCAGGACCATGTTGATAATTGTGAAAATAGAACTAAATTACGTTAAATTCTTCTTTTCCACATTTACATAAAAATAAACATTACATTAAAACTACTCTTTGTATATGACAGCATAATGTACTTGTACTTTCCAGATTTTGAAGTTACTCTTGGTTAATTGGAAAAAAAATGTGTTTAATAGTTCCAGATACATGGTATTCTAGTATTTATTTAATCAGAATATATGCGGTGTTAATAATTGAGAATTTTCTGTTTTGGTTTAATGCTATATTATACTAAAGACCTAAAAGTATCCATGATTTTTGTATTGCAAAGCTTTTCTAGCTTTAAGTTTTTTATTTGTTTACTGACTTGATTCACAAATTGCAAAGGCATTCAGTTGCCTTTAAGAATTTGTATGTGTATGATCTATTTTAGCAGCAATTTATACAGCCCAGGGAGCTTTCAAGATTAGGTCTGTTGTATGCTGAGTTAATCTCTAATGGGATACCAGTGGAGAGAGGGAGGGAGTGGCGATGGGGCCTAAACTCAGCACTTCCAGATTAGAGAACAGGGAGAGTGGGCAAATCACAGTTTCCTGTGATTGTAGACCATCAGCTACTTCTACTGGTGTTTCCTGACTCAAAATAAATTTAATTGTTCACTTATTTTACCATTTTAAAATACTCTTGAGAGTCTCCTTCTCTCTGAACTTTCTGTAAAGTACAAATGCTCTACTTAAAAAATATATCTTGCTGGCAATTCAAAGCTTAAATGTGAATCTAAGCTTTAGTGAATCATTTCAAGTATTCAATTAACTGACTTTAGTTTTATCATGATTCTGCATAGAATAGCTACTTGTGTACAAGCCATAGGGCCAGTTATGAGGATAACTGACTGAATAGTCAGGAGCGCCTAGTGGGTGGTTGGCATCATTGTGTTTATTTCCTCTATTTTCTTAGCCTAGCAGCAGGATTACAAATCCCTGAAATACATCAACAGTTGAAATGCAAGAAGGTTGTACAAGTACACCACTAGTGTAGTAAATTAGCAGCAATGTAAAACTGTATTGTGGTTCCTTCGTACGATTTCAGTTATTCGCTATCTACCACGAGCTCGCTCATCTGGTATATATTTGTGGTCAGCTGTAGCAGTCTTCCCTCCTCAGATTAAAATTCTGATCATAAAATAATTCATTTAACAAATAAATTGGTGCTCAGATAAGTGCATCCCTTGTTTAGATCTAAATTTTTCTAGAACTCTAATTCTCTTGCCATGAATTCATTTGCTAGCTAGTGTGGTGTAATGAACACTGTCTGAATGCAAAGGTTTTTAAAACTCTGGTCATTCACTCACAGTAGCCACACAATATGTCTAACTACTAACCCCCCTTCCCAGTTCTAAGTTGGAAAACTATTTAATTATGTCTCTAATTCCTCTCTGACCCTCACCAATTTCACTGCCATTGCTGACCAGTTTACTGTTCAGTCTGTTTTAACTACTTGTGCTTGACTCATGGAACCTACCTCCAATTGAATTGGATCACAACACTATCAAATCTGGTCCCCTTTATCAATTTTTCTAAAAAAAAAGACTTGCATGTATATTGCATCTTTCACAACCACATGACCTCCCAACACACTTTAATGCAAATGAAATACTTCTGAAATGTAGACATTTTTTTTCGATTCACCCATAGGATGTGTGGGCGTTGGCTGGCCACGATTTATTACCCTCCCTTTTTGCCCTTGAGAAATGGTGGTGAGCTGCCTTCTTGAACTGCTGCAGTCCACATGCTGTAGGTACATCACAATGCCCTTGGGGAGGGATATCCACGACTTTGACCCAGCTACACAGAAGAAACTGTGATATATTTCCCAGTCAGGATGGGAAGTGACTTGGCCAACTTGCAGGTAGTGGTGTTTATCTGTATCTGCTGCCCTTGTCCTTCTAGAAGGAAGTGGTGTGGATTTCTAAAGGTGCTGTCAAAGGATCTTTGGTGAATTTCTGCAGTGTGTCTTGTAGATAGTATGCACTGCTGCTGCTGAGTGTCAGTGATGGACAGAGTGGATGCTTGAGGATGTGGCACCAATCAAATGAGCCACTTTGTCCTGGATGGTTTCAACCTTCTTGAGTGTTGTTGGAGCTGCACCCATTCAGGTAAGTGGGGAGTATTCCATCACACTCCTGACTTGAGCTTTGTAGACGATGGACAGGCTTTGGGGAGTCAAGACGTGAGTTACTCACCACAGTATTCCTAGCCTCTGATCTGCTTTTGTAGCCACTGTATTTATGTGGTAAGTCTGGTTGAGTTTCTTGCCAATAGTAACCCCCTGGATGTTGATGGTGGGGTTCAGTGTCGGTAACACCATTGAATGACAAGTGACAGTGGTTAAATTGTTTCTTGTTGGGGATGGTCATTGCCTGGCATTTGTGTGGTGTGAATGTTACTTGCCATTGGTCAGCTCCAGCTTGGATATGCCAGTTGTAATGATGTATCTCCTGCCAATGCACTTGAACAGGAGGCTGGTGCCATTGATGTCAACGTTGTGTCTGCATCTCAGTGGAACTAGATCAGAAGTATGCATCCTTTGTTGCTGCCCCTCCCTTGTGCCCTATCTTCCACACTTGTCGATGTCCTAATCACCGCTCTTATTTTCCCTTTCCTGCTTCTTTAACTGGCCCTACAATGTAAATCATAGCTTCTGCAGCTAAACTTTTTAGCTCCTACACTTTTAACAATACCTACAAATTTACCCATTTTAAAGAACAAAGAAAATTACAGCACAGGAACAGGCCCTTCGGCCCTCCAAGCCTGCGCCGATCCAGATCCTCTATCTAAACCTGTCACCTATTTTCCAAGGATCTGTATCCCTCTGCTCCCTGCCAATTCATGTATCTGTCTAGATACATCTTAAATGATGCTATCGTGCCCGCCTCTACCACCTCTGCTGGCAACGCGTTTCAGGCACCCACCACCCTCTGCGTAAAGAACTTTCCACGCATATCTCCCTTAAACTTTTCCCCTCTCACCTTGAAATCGTGACCTGTAGTAATTGAGTCCCCCACTCTGGAGGAAAAAGCTTCTTGCTATCCACCCTGTCTATACCTCTCATGATTTTGTAGACCTCAATCAGACCCCCTCAACCTCCGTCTTTCTAATGTAAATAATCCTAATCTACTCAACCTCTCTTCATAGCTAGCGCACTCCATACCAGGCAACATCCTGGTGAACCTCATCTGCACCCTCAAAGAGTGCAGAATATTATTGGATTGCTTATATCAACATGTTTAACAATGCTGCTTTTGAGAGTGAACAGTTGTGGAATTCTCCTACAAGTTGTATTTGCAAATATTTCTGATAGAATGCAATAATGTCACACACACTGCAACTGTGTTTGCAAACAATATGCCCCGGAAGTTGTATTGGCAGCAACTAGTGTTTCAGGAAATGCAGCATTATCAGTTTGTGCATTATCAGCTCCCATGTGATGAGAAATGTGATTTGAAGGAGCAATATTAATCAGGCACCAGGACTTAACTTCTCTAATTTTTATTCTAAGTAACAACATGGGATCTGTTGCACCAACATGAGAGAGAAGATGGGATTTCAGTTCAATGTCTTATCTTAGAAAGGGCACCACAAACAGCAGTGTGTAATCAGTTCTGCACCAGGGAGTCGGTTTGTCTTTTGCGTTCAAATCATGCAACCTAAGTCATTATCTTCCCGGATGAAAGTGCAACCAATTTAACCCGTGGCTGACGCTCAAGAACATTAATAGTGGAGGATGGTTTTGAGCCATCAACCTCTGGTACTTGTAATCCAATCTAAATGAGCACCAACCAAATTTCTGGTCTAGTTGCAATAACCTCTACTAGCATATATGAGAGGATTCCTACGCTGGCAAGATTTTAAAGTGAATGAACATAAACAGCTGATGTTGAATGTGAGACTGATTAGTGTTCCACATCTTGTGATGTCTTTATGGGGTTTCCTTGAATGAATGATTTATTATCACCCATCTTGAAGTCACAGTGAAAAGTGTTTTGTCGTCAAATCCGGCACCATTTTGAGGTTCAATAAGGATAAGAAGAAATTACTTAAATAAGAGTTCATCTTCTTTCCAAATTTGTGTCTCAAGCACGGTTTCAGGGCTTCTACAAGGTCTTTTCAAGGTTTTCTATTCCTCAAGGAGTCTTGCTCTGGGAACAGCAGCAATGATGTCAATGCTCCAGGAGACCTCGACTCTGTTGGTGTCTGACATCACCAATAGTCCAGGCTCTGGGCACTGCCATTGCTGCTAAGAGTCCAGGCTCCAGGGCTCTGCTGCCAGAAGTCCCCGCTCTGGGTCTACTGCCACTGAGAGTCCAGGCTCTGGGCATCGCCACTGCGCCGGGAGTCCTGACCAAGCCGTTAATACTGTAGCCACCGCCCCACCAACACCACTCCAGACTCAAGGAAGAAGAAGAGAAGATGAAAAGTACATAGAGAAAATGACACTCTGGCCTGGAGCGGATGGGCTCCAACAAGCCTGAACGCTACCTACCATGGCGGTACAATCTTGGATCTTATTCCTGACTGCAGACTTGGTTTACAAAGTTTGGCTTTTGATTTGGTGAACCAAGGTTGCTGCGAGTACTAGGCCCAGATTCTCTGAATCGTTCGCTCAATAACTCCTTCCAATGTGTTTGTTGTTTGACTGTGTCAGATTTTTGAAATTAACAGCAGAACAATTGAATCCACAGATCCCCGTGATTCATCTGCTAAGTGGAAAAACTGGGGTTTTAAATTTCAACGTAGCAATTATTTGGTACCTTCAGCTGGTAAAGCAAGAAACTGCTTATTACTGTAATATATGGGCATTTTCAAACAATTTAAAATTGAGCACATTTTTTTAAGAACAAATTGAGTTTCAAGATGGAATGCTTGAAAAGACAAGTATCAATCTTTGGATCTTATCTTTTTCAGACAATGTTAACAGCCATATCAATGAGTGCCATAGCAACAAACGGAGTTGTACCAGGTAAAAAGAAATGTTTTAAAATGTCTATATGGGGGAGAAAATAGTCCACTTTATTAGTGCATGGTTTTAATTTTTGATGTAGCTGTGTTTTTAAAAAACAGCTACATTGTGTACAGGAAGGACAGAATTTATTTTAGCCACACTTTTATTTATGTATTTGACATTACTGAGTAGTGGTTATTTCTAAGACTATTTTAGTTGTGGATTTATTTTGACCTAAAGACTATAGGAGAATATGTAACAATAAAACCATCCGATCCATGATCCATCTCTTAGAATTCTACTTCACCTGATTCCTGTAATAATGTAATCTTTCTCTCACTCCCCCACCCTCCCATTTTGTGAAACTTTTTGCAGCTGGAGGTTCTTACTTTATGATCTCAAGGTCTCTTGGTCCTGAATTTGGAGGTGCTGTGGGCCTGTGTTTCTATCTTGGAACGACGTTTGCAGGAGCCATGTATATACTTGGTGCCATTGAAATTCTACTGGTGAGAGTCCAGATAGTAGTTTTGATAAGTTTTGAAATATTGCTTTTTATGTAAAGTGTCAGACTTACAAACCTATAGGTGCTGTTTCACAAAGGAGGAATACACAACATATGATTGTACTGTCATATTCTCCTTTCTTGATATGCTACATAAATTGGTATAACTCCAGTCACTTTTGTGACTATGTCAAGTTTATTTCAATGCTTCTACTGTTGAACTTCTCTGAATGTTAAAGATGAAATTTCAATGAAGTCTTTTCACAAAGGTCAATATATTTCAGACCTGTCAGGTTATGTGTACAGCCCTTCCAACTATGAATGTTCAGGGACTTCAGTTAGAAATATACTATGTGCTATCAAAAATGGCTCTATCCTTTAAATAAACTTTTGAGTGTATTAGCCATTGTTATGTAATCATACCCAGTAGATATTTTTTCTCAGAGTCCCTACAAAAAGCATGATGACAAGTGACCCAACTAGTTTGTTTTTGGTATTGTTAATTGAGCAGGCAATATTTAGTTAACGTACCAGAATTCCATGTTGTTTACAAATTACCATGAGATTATAGTGCACTTGAATTTCTCAGGATCAGCACAAGGGTTTAATAATTTGTCTGAATAATGACACCTCCGATACCACAACACTATTTTAGCTGTTCAATTTTACACAAAAATAATTCAACTCAGAACTTTCACATTAAAAGTTGCCTTTTCTGACCAGAATTTTGTTCCAGCTAATAAATTATTTTGTAATTGTGCAGGGTATAGTATTAGATGTCCAATTAAAACCCGTTACCAACTAACATTTGCCCTCAACAAATCTCATGAACAGAATTTTGCTGCGTGATTTGGAGAATAACAGAATTTCTGTCATGTTGTTTCTCAGGAGGGAAGTTCAGGATTGGAATAATAATGGCTTAGTTTGGACCATACGTGTGCTATATCTAGCCTCTGTGGAGGGGATAGAGTTTGAGGATCATGCTTAATGATTCCCATTGAAAACAGCTGATATATTCACTGTATAATTGCGCACTTAAGAATGTTTGTTTGACTTTTTTTTAATTCCAGATTTTTAAAATTAAATTTAATTTTCACTGTCTGCTGTCATAGGATTTTAACGGATGTACCCAGAACATTTCAAAAACAAAAAATTGCTAGAGAAACTCAGCAGGTCTGGCAGCATCTGTGCAGAGAAAGCAAAGTTAACGTTTTAAGTCCAGTGACCCTTCTTTAGAACTTACTGGATCCAAAAGGTTAACTCTGCTTTCTTCCAAAGATGCTGCCAGATCTGCTAAGTTTCTCCAGCACTTTTTGTTTTAGATTCAGATTTCCAGCATCTGCAGTTCTTAGTTCTTTTTTATTCCCCCCTCCCAGAACATTAACCTAGAGTTCTGAATTACCCATCCAGTGACAAACCACTATGCCACTGCCTCCCTCTACACTTAAGAATGATCATTTGTGTTTCGGGCTAATTTCAGCTGAAATAAATGTAACACTGACTATTTGGTGTGTGTGTGGGAGGGGGGGTGGTGGTTGTGGTGGTTGGGGGGAGGTGGCAGGGTGGCAGGGAACAGAATGGTGTTGGTAGAGGATGGAGGCAGGTAGAGGACTACATAGAACATAGAACTGTACAGCACAGTACAGGCCCTTCAGCCCACAATGTTGTGCTGAACTTTTACCCTAAACCTAAGGTCTACCTAACCTCCACCCCTACCTTATACTATCATCCATATGCCTATCTAATAGCCGCTTAAATGCCCCTAATGAGGCCCACTCCACGACCCTCTCCGGCAATGCATTCCACACCCCTACCACTCTCTGAGTAAAGAACCTACCTCTGACGTCCCCTCTATATCTACCTCCACTCACTGTAAAACTGTGCCCCCTCATAATAGCTACCTCCACCCTAGGAAAAGGTCACTGGCTGTCCACCCTATCTAAACCTCTGATCATTTTGTATACCTCTGTCAAGTCACCTCTCATCCTTCGTCGTTCTAAAGAGAAAAGCCCCAGCTCTCTCAACCTTTCCTCGTAAGACCTTCCCTCCATTCCAAGCAACATCCTGGAAAATCTTATCTGCACCTTTTTCCAACACTTCCACATCTTTCCTGTAATGAGGCGACCAGAACTGGACACAATACTCCAGATGTGGCCGAACCAGGGTTTTGTATAGCTGGAGCATAACTTCATGGCTCTTGAACTCAATCCCTCTATTAATGAAAGCTAACAGACCATACGCCTTCTTAACAATCCTATCCACCTGGGTGGCAGCTTTCAGGGAACTGTGGACATGAACCCAGAGATCCCTCTGCTCCTCCACACTGCCAAGAATCTTTCCGTTAACCCTGTATTCTGCTTTCAAATTTGTCCTTCCAAAATGAATCACCTCACACTTTTCAGGGTTAAACTCCATCTGCCACTTCTCAGCCCAGCTCTGCATCCTATCAATGTCCCTTTGTAACCTAGAACAGCCCTACGCACTATCCACAACTCGACCCACCTTCGTATCGTCCGCGAACTTACTAATCCACCCTTCCATTCCTACATCCAAATCATTTACAAAAATCACAAATAGAAGAGGTCCCAGAACAGATACTGATGGTACACCACTCGTAACTGATCACCATGTTGAATATTTTCCGTCCACTACCACCCTTTGTCTTCTAAGGGTCAGCCAATTCTGAATCCAATCTGCCACATTTCCCCCTATCCCATGCCTCCTTACTTTCTGCATGAGCCTACCACGGGGAACCTTATCAAATGCCTTACTTAAATCCATGTATACCACATCCACTGCTCTACCTTCATCCACGTGTTTGGTCATCTCTTCAAAGAATTCAATAAAGTTTTTGAGGCATTATCTACCCCTCACAAATCCATGTTGACTATGCCGAATCAAACTATGCCTATCCAAGTGATCATAAATCCTATCCCTCAGAGCCCTTTCCAATAATGTTCCCACCACTGAAGTGATACTAACTGGCCTGTAGTTTACTACTTCTTTCTGCACTACTGGAATCTTTTTTTTTAAATTGGAAGGTTAAAAAGGGTGAAATCGCAAATGCCTGAGTGTAGACTTTTCTTCCCATCTGGAGAATCTTGTTCCTTCTCCGAATAAGGAAAAGGAACAGAGACCTATATAATTAAACCTCCATTCGCCTGCAGTCTAATAGAGAACAGGATATTAGTTGTCCCCGTTGATGTTAACTGATACGTGTCAAATTTAATTGTGTTTACCTTTTGATCTAGTGTTGATTTCTTGAATTCAATTGTATTCAATTCTACTTGGATATATAGGGTATCAAGTTAATTTGATTTTTTCTGTTCATAGATCACTGTGTCTAGACATTATGATTATAAATACGATGGTACCTGCTTGTAATAGTCTGTTGCTGTTTCACAAACAAGAAATTGGGAGTTAGCATAACAATACTGTTTCCAACTACACTAGTGGATTCTTTTTTAAATGGGGCAGATCCAGAAACACGGGAAATATCTCCGGGCAGATTCTTCACAGTGAATCAAGAATCTGCGTTCTGTGAAAATGGAAAAGAAGCAGATGTCTGTAATAAATGCCTCAGTTTCTCAATACTGCTCATTGATTTTCTAAACCCTTTCCTTGGCACAGAGTCATAGACACTTGGCCATTGATCCCTCCTCAAGGGAAAAAGTTTTTTCTTGTCTTTTCTGTGCCCCTCATAATTTTATATATCACAGCCATGTTCCCTCTCAGTCTCCTCTGCTGTAAGGAAAACAAGTCCAGTTTGTCCAATCTCTATTCATAACTGGAACTCTCCAGCCCAGGCAACATCCTGTAAATCTCCTCTGCACCCTCTCCATTGCTATCACATCCGTCCCATAATGTGAATTCCAGAACTATACACAATACTCCAGCTGTGTCTGAACCAACATTTCATATAGTTCCAGCATAACTTTCCTGCTCTTAAACTCTATGTCTCAGCGAATAAAGGCAGATATACTATGTGCCACCTTAACCACTTTATCCAGATACCTTAAGGGACTGGTATACATGTGAACCAAGATTCCTTTGATCCTCAGTGCTTCCCAGGGTCCTACTGTTCATCATGTATTCCCATGCCTTGTTTGTCCTGCCCAAATGCATCACCCCATATTTATTTCTGAATTGAATTCCATTTGCCACTGATCAGCCAATCTGACTAGCCTGTCTATCTCCCCCTGGAATCTAAGGCAATCCTCCTCACTGTTTTCTGCCCCACCAATTTTTTATCATCTGCATCCTTGCTGATCAGGCCACCTATATTTAAGTTTGAATCATTGTACAAACTTTATATAAATCTGTATAAACTTGTGATGTAGTAGATGCAAGTAGTGCCAGTAGTAGTTGTAAGTCCAGTTTCCCATTTTAATTTATTACTTTTTCAATGTACTTGTCTTATTCTATTGCCTGCACAATGTATCTTAATTTTACTGGGTTTTTTTTGCAGGCCTACATTGTTCCTGCAGCAGCTATATTTAAACCTGTTCAACCACATGAAGAAACCAGTGCTATGCTTCACAACATGAGAATCTATGGGACAATCTTCCTCACATTGATGTGTCTGGTTGTTTTCATAGGCGTCAAATATGTTAATAAGTTTGCCTCTTTGTTTTTGGTATGTGTGATACTATCCATTCTGTCCATTTACGTGGGTGTTATCAAATCAGCAGTTTATCCTCCAGAATTTAAGTAAGTAATAACATTTCTGTTCATTGTTATTTTGAGTAGAAATGTTAGACATCATTATAGCTGTGAAATAATATTTAGAATGCATGTAATTAATTGCTGCTGTAAGAATATTTTTTGCATTTACTTGGACAACTAAAAGATGAAACTATAGCATTCTGCAGCAACTTGTGCCACAGTTATAATAATTGGATCTGATGTGGATATTTAGTAATACAAGAAAGTCTGTTGTCAGGGTAAGTCGATCTTTTCTAGTTTCTGAAGTATCAAGTAAAAACTGCAGTAAATAGCTCAGATTGAAACAAACTACGTGGACAAAGGAACTGAGGGCTTTGTTGTTACGTTTGCAGATGACACAAAGTAGATGGAGGGACAGAGAGTGTTGAGAAAGTGAGGAGGCTGCAGAAGGATAGACTAGGAGAGTGGCCAAAGATGTGGCAGATGGAATACAATTTGGGCAAGTGTGAAGTTATGCATTTTGGTAGGAAGAATAGGGGCGTAGTCTATTTTCTAAACTGAGAAAGCCTTCAGAAATCTGAAGTACTAAGTGGCTTGGAAGTCCTAGTTTAGGTTTCTCTGAAAGTTAACATGCAGGGTCAGTTGGCAGTTAGGATGGCAAATGCAATGTCAGTGTTCATTTCAAGAATACAACAGCAGAGATGTACTGTTGAGGCTGTGTAAGGCTCTGGTCAGACTGCATTTGGAATATTGTGAGCAGTTTTGGGCTCCGTATCCAAGGAAGAATGTGCTAGTATTGGAGGTTTACAAAAATGATGCTGGGGATGAAGGGTTTTTCATATGAGGAACAGTTGAAGACTCTAGGTCTGTACTTGATGGAGTTTAGAAGGATGAGGGGGATCTGATTGAAGCTTACAGAATGTTGAGAGGCCTAGGAAAATAAAGTGAGAATGAAAAGCTTCTGATTCCCATTGTTGAGAAAAATGTTCCCAATTTTTCCCTTTAACTTCAAGTGGGGAATTGAGAATTTCACCATTGATGACTTCCTATTTTCATGTTAGTATCTCATTAAAACTTCAATTCATCCTTTTTATCCCACTTCCAGTTCTTTCCTTCACCGAAAATTGTAAACTTCTGACGTGTACTTACAGTGAGTATCTGCCAGCTGCAGCTCACCAAGTTCTTGTCTTGTCTATTATCCACATGCTTCTTCAGAACAATATCCTCCACGGCCACCATTTTCCTCAGTTCTATATCCACACATCAGCATCAGCAAATCACCAGCCTCACCATATCACGCTTGTTCTTAGACCAACTCGAGACAGCAACACCAAAGAAGACATACGCAATTCCAACTTCTGCAGAGGCTGCATTTTGGTTCGCTTACCTAGCTCATGTTCACCCTTCTACTTATTTGGACTCTGCCAACCTTGGTCTATTTCGCGTTGTTTTCTCAAAGCATACTGACGGCCTTCAGCACTGACTTAACAAGCTCCCAGCCTACATGTGTCATATCCCGTTCTCATTGCACAGGGTCTTTAGTGCTTACTGCTGTCGAACAACACAGTGAGGGCAAATTACTGGCTTGCAGTTTCTGAAGCAGTGTTTAGCTGGGCTTTAAATATGACGCCAGGAGCATCAAAGTTGTAGGTTCCCCACAGTAGTGAACACTTGTGCCTCTCCAGCCACACAATTCCCCAAGAATGGCACCCAAGAGTCTCGTTGCATAATTTAATCATGTGGAGAGCTGGAGGTTGCGTGAGAAATATTGCTGTGGGCCATGGCGGACTGAGTGCAATGTATCTCATTAAGCAAAACAGTTTTTAACTGTAAATGGGAAAACTCCATCCATTGGACTGTTCATGTGCAATTACTTAAGGTTACAAACAAAGTTAATAAAGCGCATGTAATCCATATTTGATAAATAGAGGCATAGAGTACAAAAGTCAAAAAGTATACTTCCAGCCCTTGATTAAACATTATTTTAGCCCCAACTGGAGTATTGCATTCAGTTCTGGGCACCACACTTTAGGAAAGATATATGAATTATGAAGAGGGGGCAGAATAATTTTTTTTTATATTTGTTCATGGATTGTGATCATCACTAGTGAATGAGGGTTTCTTATTGCTCATTCTACTTGTCCTTGAGAATGGGATGCCAAGCTACTTTTATGAACTGATGCACATCCACAGTACTATTACATAATGGGCCTTGGAATTTTGACCCAGTGATGACTCTGGAACAGCTATATATTTGCCCTTTGCGATGGTCTTTGACTTGAAGAGAAATTTTGAAGTGGTATTTCATTGCACCTTCCATTCCTCCTAAGCATCAGAGGTTGCACATTTGGAAAGTGCTGTTGAAGAATCCTTGGTGTATATCTGCACTGCATCTTGTTTTTATGATGCACACTAGTTACAGTGCAGGGATGGTGGAAAGTGTGAATATTCAAGGAGTAAGGCATGTTGTGGTTCCAATCGAGCAGGCGGCCATTTCCTTGATGTTGTTATTGGAACTGCACTCATCCAGTCATTTACTATGATGGCTCCAGGGATAAAGGATTTGTCATGTGGGTGGAATGGAAAAGCTATTCTCCCTGAAACAGAGAAGTAGAGAAGATAATTTAGTAAAGATGCTCAAAATTCTGGAAGTTTAGTAAGAATAATAAAATAACAGTTTCCAGTGGTAGAACAGCAAGTGGAAGACTAACTTCAGGTGTTAGGGAAAATAATCAGAGGCAACTAGAGGGAGGTAAAGTACATAGTGACTTGTCCTGATCAATGCTTGAAAAGGTGATAGAAGGTGGTTGAGTAGTAGCTTTCTAAAAGGTAGTGGCTGCATATTTGAAACGGCGGTGGGGGGGGTCATGTTATAAGGCTATAGGCGAAGAGTACAGGGGTGTTTAAAAAAAAAAGTTCATAAAGAAGTGAGAGGGGCCAAATTGCTTCCTTCAGTGCTGTATTATCTGATTCTGTTATTGGAGTTAGTAGAAACATAATGAAATCAGTACTATTTGATAAAATAGTTTTGTGAGCATTTTTTATTGCTGCATAGTGCTTAAAACTATTGTGTAGCTGTCAGCAAGGGTAGTTTTAATAAAAATTGTACAGTCAGTCCAGGTTGTGAACGGATTCCGTTCTCGAGTCTGTTTGCAAGTTGATTTTACACAAGTTGGAACACAATGCAGGGCAATATAAAATAGCCATTCTTAAATATTGTATCCATTCATATGTTGGATCTTTAAAGTTATGCCCCAGTATGAGATTGAATTCATATGCTTGTAAATTGGAACCCCCCCGTACTGCAACATTAAAAAGTACTATAGAGATAACACAGTGTGGAAATTTTCTGAAGAAGGGTCCCGACCCAAAACATCAACTTTCCTGCTCCTCTGATGCTGCCTGGCCTGCTGTGTTCCTCCAGCTCCACACTGTGTTATCTGTGACTCCACCATCGGCAGTTCTTACTATCTCTCATTAAAAAGTACTATTTTTTTTTCAGGATATGCATGTTAGGAAATCGAACTCTTTCTCGAAATCTATTTGATATTTGTGCCAAAACCACAACTGAAAACAATTTGACAGTGACAACTAAATTATGGGACCTGTTCTGCACTTCTAAAAATCAGACAGACACTTGCGATGAGTATTTTGTGCAAAATAATGTCACAGAAATCCAAGGAATTCCAGGTGTAGCAAGTGGCAGAATAAAAGGTTTGTATGAGTTTATGTTAATGCATTTTGGAACATTTTTATGATTAGTGGAATAATTTGTGCACTTGAAATGGTGAAGCATATCATATTTTCAAGGCTGGATTCTTGCAATAGGAAGTACTGTTGCTGGCTTCACAGTTTATTCATTTTATTGTGTTGCTCCACTAGAGGGTCTCCTTGTAACTTGCAAGTCCGGTTATGACAGACGAATGCATAATTTTCAAACGCAGATATTGAGAATAATTTAATGAAACACTACTTGTCTAAAATAATACTTGTGTGTAATGCCTTATTCTAAAGGTTCTGTATGTTTTCTTTATAATTTAAAGTTTTTTTTTTAACTTTGAACATATTTAATAGTTGAAAGTTTTGCAGGATTACTAAAAATTGGATTAATCACTAACTTAAACATTTCATGAAGTTTACAATGTGAATTTTTACCTTGACTTTATTTCAAGTGATTTTTTAAAATCTAAAATCATGTTTCAAACATTCTGAATCACATAGATTTTAATTTTAAAAACACCAGCCATGTTAGTGATACAAGACCTAAAAGATACATTTTTCCAATTGTGTATGTGATGAATTTGCTTCTTTACAATCTGCTGTAATTAAGATTTCACTGTGTCTAATCTTGGTCAATTTTGTAGACAATCTGTGGAGCAGCTACATGACCAAAGGAGAGATACTACAAAAGCATTCTTTGCCATCTGTTGAAGCTTCTGGATCAAGAAGGAATCTACCTGTCTATGTGTTTGCAGACATAACTACTACGTTTACAATGTTGGTTGGCATCTTCTTCCCTTCAGTAACTGGTGAGGAAACTTGAATTATTACAGAGGAGAGATGATTTAGAAGGTATAGAAGATTTGCTCGTGCAGCCCAAATGCTATCCTCTGCAAGTTAATGAGAGCTAATAGGAAAGTCACACTTCAGTTTGTGGTAAATCTGTGTAATTCTGGCACACCACACTCTTTTTGCCCATCCCAAACGTATGTTTTTATAAAGTGTTCTGCCAGCATATGACCCCTTCTACTTGCTAACATTTTAACAATTGCTTTCAGTTTGAACACTTTGTTTCCCATGGAATTTAGAAATCAACACTAATGACTGTGTATGGTATTGTTTGCTAGTGCACAAGCTCTTTGAAATGCAGAAAGCAATACAATTGTTATAACGTCATTAGAAATGCAGTTTTAACTTGTGAATAATTTCTCTACTTTTCCAAGGACTGGCACTTGGAAATTGCTTTCCATTATTTTTGTGCATAAGTATTAAATATAATTTTTAGCGCTGACGTCAAACACAAGAAAGTCTCAACTGTAGACTGAGCAATTGGTACATGGAAATTGTGCAGAACACGGTTGCTATACTTAATGTTAGCTAGAATTTTAACTACTGTGTACCAGCATGTTGTTAATGAAATACGCTAAGAGGTAATGGCAATTGCACTGTACTGTTGGAACTTTGTTTATTTATATAATTGTCATTATCCTTGACTCATTCCCTTATGTTTCAATGGTTTTCTAATTATTTCTGTATTCTTAGAGAAAATGTGACGTTCTGTGTAGCTCCCAGATCAATACAGGCTGTGTTCCACTTTTTAAAAGGTCTAAACAAAGCAGACTCTCAGTCACTTTATAAGGTGAACTACTTGTGCCAGTGCAGATGCAAATGATGAAACTGTCACCAACGTAAAACATTTGCACAAAATGTCTTTTGTTTCTGTTCCAATGCTGATTACGATTTCTAGTACATTAAAAGGGATGTCTGCATGTAACTGCTCATTAGTTTGAACTGTAGTTTTTTTTATCATGAGGAATATATTCTATACAATAAAGTTATCCCTGGTATTTAATCTCCTATATACATTACAACAGTGTCTCTGAAGGCGACAAAGGACAAAGTAGTTTTGAACAAATTATGAAAATTTCCAAATGCTGGCATTCTGAAATAATGGAAATTTAAGAGGTCAGCCAGCATCTGTGGTGGAAAAGACAACAGCTGTTCGATATTTTGGGTGGAGGTTCTTTAACAAGACTAGTTTTGTCCCCTGCTTCCAGGAAAACATGTTGACCAGGACAGTTTTAGCATTCTGTTCTTGTCATCAACTGACTCGGACAGAGGCCCTGCAATATATAAGGTGTAAATCTCTCGGGGAATTTTTTTCATTGGAGTACAATAGCTGTCACTGAAACAGGTGGAATATTTCAATCTGCTTTACAGTAGCAACAGTATAGACATTTGCCACTAGGTATTTATGCCACTATGAATTTTCTCTGTATTGGACAGTGATTTTAAAATACTATTAAGTACTATATCCTCTCCCTCCAATAAGCTATTTTATATTTGTAGATTCATTGCAAAATTTATCCTTGTATTCCGTATTCACCATTGTGTATAACAGAATATAATAGAAACTTGAGTGAAATGAGCGAGGAACTAAGTACTTGTTCATGTAACATAATTATCTGCTTTCATTTATTAGGTATCATGGCTGGTTCTAATAGATCAGGAGACCTGAAAGATGCACAGAAGTCCATTCCCATTGGTACTATCCTGGCTATTGCTACAACCTCATTAATTTGTATCCTTTTTGTTTCATTAGTGTTTGGTACAAAACAGCTTAAAATTGAAGCAAGTCGCGTAGTACAACCTGTAGGTCCATGTTGTGAGGCTTGTTAGATGCAGTTTGTTTTCCTTCCTGTAAGCTATTTTGCAAGTTATCAAACCGTTTAATGGCAGGTCACGAAGAGACTTGAGCAAAAATTGAGTCTCTGATGCAGTATCAAAGAAATCCACACAATGAGTCTGATCTGTCAGATGGTGTTGTTCACATGAATACCAGAGAATCTCCCAAATGTCCTGGTTAATAGTTATTTCTCCACCAACATAACTCAAACTTTTTTTTTCCTGGTGATTTCACATTGCTGTTTGTGAGAATCAATCTTGGTACATGTTAATGTTTTCAACATTCTATCGGTAATAATATTTCAAAAGTGTTTACTTGGCTTTAGAGCACTTTGAGATGGCTGAAGGCCATAGAGGATGCTACGAAAATACAACTTAGTTTTTTTTGGGCCCATCCTTTTTAGATAGGGGATGGAGAATGACTTCACTTACGTCATCAATACGCCTCTGAACCCTGAGTAAGCCTTCATCTGCAGTAGTTGAAGTTTTTTTTAACACAGGTTTCCTTTTCAGAATGTGTGTAAAGCTTGGTGTGGAGCACATGGTTGGAATGTCGATACACAGACAGAGACACACAAACATGCTCAAGATCCCACCCCCGGCAATGCTTAATTTCCCAGGCAGTACACGTACATGAGCAGTGTTCACTTTCCCCTTCAACACCCCCTTCCCCACCACCCCCCCCACCCTCTTCTGAACAACTCTCTCATACTCTCAGTTCACCTCCAACCTCCTCCTTAATCCCTTCTCCTATCAGGCGTATATCAGCAAAGTTGACTGTCAGGGAACACAGGCCGAGAGGTTGAGCATTTTTGGGGGTGAGGGAGAAAGTTAGCACCAATTGTGAGGAGAATTTATGCACTTTCAGGAATAACTGTTCCACTCAAAATTGTATAAGTCAATGAAATGAGGTCAGACCTTACAGTTGTATCTTTTATGACGCAAAAGGGGGACATGACTTAGCCACTGCCTTTGAACTCTTCATCTTTTTATCCCGCTGGAGCCAGCACTAGAAAGTGCAAAGACTCCAGGGTAAAATGGTAAGTGGGCAGAGTAGATTACATTGAACAACCGACACATGATCTCATTCTTCCAAGGTAAGTACATCTACTCAAGCTTAGGTTTGTTTACTCTTCTGGATTTATGTATTTTCTCAAGATTTTTAGCTATCTCCCCTAAGTCTTTTCTTCAGCATAAATAAACCTAGGTTCTTGAATCTTCTTGTATCTCAGATGCCTTAAACTGGATATTAGCATAGTGACCCAATGGAATGCTGCCTCTTTGAGCAGCGGTGAGTTCTAAACCCACTAATTGCCTGTTGGTGGCAGGACAGAATTATTGAAGAAAGTCTGCCAGGGTTTCTGACTAATTTGCGTGCAATTTAAAATCTATAAAATGAGACCCAGTCAGTTTTTAAAACTTATTCCTACCTTCTAGGTCTTGTATTGTGGTTCATTGAGAAACTGAACCAACAAAGTATATCTGAACTAAAATCACAAATTATTCTGGGCTGCACTCTTATTTTACTCTGTCTTGTTTCCTTGATAGTAACAGAAAAATTGGCCATGTGAAACAGTCATACACAATTTAATTGAAGAGTGAGGGGAGTATATATTAAAAGGTTGGATGGTTACTTCCAATTTTTGTTATTCTGTTTACTTGTACACCTGAGTTTTGTTGTTAGTTAGCTCTTGAAGCACATTTTTAGCTGTCTACAAAGTTCAGTTTAATTGAATTTTATTTCACTTGACTGAAAATCAGACTTAAGCAGTGTTGTGTTATTTGGAGCCTGTATTGAAGATGTTGTACTTAGAGATAAGTAAGTACTGAATCATTTTGAAAGGAACAAAAAATGTTCTTTTGTGAAAAGTCTGTCTGAAAATGCATTTGACTTGTATAATATTTTTGAGTCTTGTTAGAATAATATCTAATTGAAGTATTCATCTCTGTCACTCACTCTCTAGCTTCTGGACTCCCCTGTCATCAAAAATGTCCTTTCTCCATCTATTAAAACTTTATAGGTTTCTCTGAGATGCCTGCTTATTCTTCTAAACTCTAGTGAGTATAGCCCTAATCAATCCAGTGTCTCCCCATTAATCAGCCCTACCATCCTAGGAATCAGTCTGGCAAAATTTCTTTACACTCCCTCAATCACTAGAATATCTTTCCTCAACCAAGAAAACCAAAACTGCACACAGTACTCCAAGTGTGGTTTTCCTGTACAGTTTATAGCAAGACATCCCTGATCCTGTACCCGAATCCTCTCACTATGAAGGTCAACATATCGTTTCACTTCTTCATCACCTGCTGTGCCTGCCTGCTTACTTTCAGCCACTGGTGTACAAGGACATATGCAAATCTCGGTGCACCACCCCTTTCCAAATCTATCACTGCTCAGATAATAATCTGCCTTCCTGTTTTTGCTACCAAAGTGGATAACCTCACATTTACACACATTGTATTGCATTTGTCATATATTTGCCCATTTACATAACTTGACCAAACCACACTAAATTTTCTCTGCATCCTCTTTTGCACCATATCCTCCCACCCAGCTGCAAGTTTGGAGGTATGACACACAGTTTCTGTGTCAAATCATTAATATGTATCATGAATAGCTGGGGTCCAAGCATTGACCTCTGCAGTATCACACTGATCATTCCTTGCCAATTGGAAAAAGACCCATTTATTCTTCCTGTTTATTTCTGTCTGCCAACCAGTTCTCTAAAAGTTGCATACTGAAATGGATAATCCCACATACTCTGATGCTTATCTCATTGGTGGGATCTTTATCGAAAGCCTTCTGAAAATCCAAGTAGATCACATCTGCTGGCCTCTTCCTATCCACTCTACAAGTTACATCCTCTAAAGATTCCAGTAGATTTGTCAAGTATGACCACCCCTTCATAAATCCATGCTAACTCTGTCCAATTCTGTCACTGTCTTCCAATGAATGTTTTCAACATTCTATTGGTAATAATATTTCAAAAGTATTTATTTGGCTTTAGAGCACTTTGAGATGGCTGAAGGCCATTGAGGATGTTATGAGAATACAACTTAGTTTTTTTTGGCCCCATCTTTTTTAGATAGGGGATGGAAAATGACTTCACTTACGTCATCAATACGCCTCTGAACCCTGAGTAAGCCTTCATGGGTGCCAACTGTGCAGTAGTTGAAGTTTTTGTTTGAACACGGGTTTCCTTTTCAGAATGTTTGTAAAGCTTGCTGTGGAGCACGTTGTTGGAATGTCAATACACAGACAGAGACACACAAACACGCTCAAGACCCCACCCCTTGGCAATGCTTAATTTCCCAGGCAGCGCACATACATGAGCAGTGTTCAGCAATCACCCATAATTACAGCCGTGACTTTATTACTTACATCTCTAATTTCCTTTTTCATGCCTTCCACAATATTACATTACAGTTTAGGGCTGTATATACAACCCGTGCTATCATTTCTGCCCCTTGGTGTTTCTAAGCTTACCATACAGATTTTACCTCATCAGAGCCGATATCCTTCCTCACAATTGCATTAATTTTCTTTTTAATCAACAATGCTAACCCATTTCCTTCTGCTTTTTGTCTGCCCTTTCTAAAAACTGCAAACCTCTTATTCAGTTCCCATTCCTGGTCACCCTGCAGCCATGTCTCTATGTTTAGATGTATTTGCTTGACTAATGCAACCGTTTTGTTGCAAATGCTCCACACGTTGAAGCATAAGACCTTATGGCTTGTCTTCTTAGCATTTTTAGTGCCATGCATTGGGCCCTGCTTGATTGTAGTCCTTGAATTCTCTGCTTATCACCTTTGATATTTCCAATTCCATCTTTTGTTTTAGTCCTTACTGCCCCATCATTTGTCTCCCTGTACAGATTTCCATTTTCCTGCCATTTTAGTTTAACCCCTCCCTGACCGCACTCACAAATACATCCCCTAGGGCATGCGTTCCAGTCCTGCCAAAGTGCAACCCATCCAGCCCTTACTGGTGCACCTCCCCCAGACTGGTCTCAATGTCCTAGGAGTCTGAAAGCCTCTCCCTCAGACTATTTCTTTAGCCATATGTTCATCCAACATTTCTACTCTGCTACCGGTCCTACTAGCTAGTCAATCCCAAAATCATTACCTTTTAGAGGGTTTTTCTTAAACTTGCTCCTAAAACCCTTCATGCTGTTTTAAGGATCTCCTCTATTTTCTTACCTACGTCATTGATACCGATGGTTGACGACCATTGACGACCACTGGTTGTTCACCCTCCTACTTCAGAATATCCTGTAGACATTCGGAGACATCCTTGGCCCTAGCACCTGAGAGGTAACATACCATCCTGGAGTCTCGGCTTTGGCCACAGAACCATTCCATCTGTTTCCCTTACTATTAAATCACTTATTACTACAGCATTCCTGCTGTTTTGCCTTCTGTTCCTTGCAACAGAGACAACTGTGGTGCAACGACTTTGGTTGCTGCCACTTTTCTCTAAAAGGCCATTCCCTCCAACAGTATCCAAAGCGTTATGACTGTTTTGCAGATGAATGGCTGGGGTGGGGCGTGGTCCCACACTACTTGGCTAGTTCTCTTACTCAGCCTGGTGGTCACCCATTCCTTTGCTGCCTGTGGAGCCTTAGTGTGCAGAGTGACTACAATGTGTAGGTGCTATCCATGATACTGTCCACTTCGCAGATGCAGCGCAGTGTCCCCAGCTGCTGTTCCAGCTCCACAACTTGGCATTTCCAGGAACTGCAGCTGGAGACATTTCTTGCACACATGCTGGTGACGGGCACTGGAAATGTGCCTGACTTTCCAGAGAGAGCAGGAGGAGCACACCACGGCCTTGAGTTCTCCTTCCATCTTTTATATCTGTAGCTTAAACGTTCAGATTACTCTTTACTCAAATAATGTTAATTCTAGAGCACTTCTTCTACCTTGGATCTCTGAAGGATAGTTCCTATGTACTTTAAAACAAAAATAAGACTTCTTAAAAACCTATCACCACTGAAAACTAATGCCTTCTAGTTAACTTCAGTCTGCTCATCCTGTGACTTTTACATATCCCTGGTGCTTCACAGTCAATCCCTTAATAGTAATAATAATAATAAATAATAATAAAACACTTTTCTAATTAATCACTGCTATTTAACATTAGTTCCTAAAAGGTAGTTCCTTACCTGCAAAACAACTCACTGATTTCCTGTAACATGACTCTTGTCTATTTTTCTCGCAGTTCACTTGCAAGCAGCTGAATAAGTGAAATTCAGGGTCCAGTGCTGATTACCCATGCTACCGCACCCCCCCCAACACACACACAACCCCTCCACACACGTGCATGAGCACGCCCCCCTACACACACAGAGTCTGGCTCCACTACCACTCAACGTTGCAGGATTGCTGTGGCTTATCTCTCAGTTTCTTTGCTTGTCATGGAGCAAGGACCAATTCCTACAGGGCAAGGTGATGGACAGGCAATAGCAAATGCAATAATAAGAAACATCATCTTCCCTACTGATGTAACTCAGTTCTGATCCATCTCCAGAGACTTGCACTGGATGTGAAATTGCAGAGCTTCAAGTATGCACAGCTCTAAGATTCTCAACTTCCCTTGCTGCACTATTATCAGCTAGCAGTCTGAACAACTTGCAGCACAAAATTTCCCTGATAATTAATATAAGTGCAAGGGCATGATTAAATTCCGCTCATTGCCCTGCTGTGGCAATTTATGGTCCGTTCTTCTAATTTTACCAATTTTTTGGTTTTCCTTGTCTAATGTCTTTTTCAGATGTTAATGCCTTTAAACCCAAAAAGCTATTAAATTTGATGTTGAAAATATTTAATGTATGTATATGGATTTATTTCTTCTTCGTGTCCAGGTATGGTGATGCTGTGAATAATAATCTGGTTGTTGGAACTCTGGCCTGGCCTTCTCCATGGGTTATTGTGATTGGTTCCTTTTTCTCAACATGTGGTGCTGGTTTACAGAGCCTAACCGGAGCTCCACGGTTGTTGCAAGCCATAGCTAAAGACAATATCATACCTTTCTTGCGGGTTTGTATGCTATATTTGTTTTGATTGAACCTTCTTGCTGCTAAATTTGATGTATGATGTAGCTTCAGGGAGGTCTTTGTGCAACTTAATTCATCCATTGTTGTGAATTATTAAAGCCAACTTAAACCAAAACTTTGGCCTAATCTGCTGCTATAGGTCTTTTGGCCCATCAAGGGCAACTTGCAGGCATATGTCGCCTGTTTAATAAATTTAAATTATTTTCCACAAGTTTTGCGCAGTATTTTTTTTTCAGTTACCTCTTCCTGACATTGTTTCAAGCTGTCACTGCATACGCTTTGACATATTTGCACTTTGTTCCACATATTCACATAATCTTAAAATTAACCGTTATGTAACAGTTTTTGCCAAAAAAGAAATTAAACCAGATCATTGTAAACCAATGACTTATTCTGAATAGAGATGTTTTGTTAAAAAGCTAGCCACTCCTATTCAAAAAAATCGAAAAACTGGATGCGGAAATCAAAAACAAAGGGTCAACTTGACCTGAAACGTTAACTCCAATTTCTCTCTGCAGATGCTGCCAGACCTGCTGAGATTTTCCAGCAATTTGTTTTTGTAGCCACTTCTAATCCACTACTGATTTTTGGATCCTATTTATATTATTGAAAACAATATCATAGAGTCTTCACCAGTCTTAAAAGCACAAATGCATTTGAAAACTAGTATTTCAAAATGTTTCCTGTCTCCTCTGCTTTTTCTGTTAATTTGTGAATGTCAGAATTAAAGCCTTGGTGTCAAACTTCAGTTTCCTTCTAGCCTTGTTCTCATTTCTAATAATTACACTTTTTTAAAAAAGAGCTACTGTCCTTATAAAACAGAACTGCGGATACTGGAGATCTAAAACAAACAAAAACAGAAATTGCTGCAGAAACTCAGCAGATTTGGCAGCATCTCTGGACAAAACCAGAGTGAAGTTAACGTTCGAAGTCCAGTGACCTTTTGTCAGAACTGAAAGTAGTTAGGAAATGATGGTATTTATGCTGATTGTGGGTGTTGTAGGGGAAGGAGTGAGATGGATAGATGGGGACAGTGCCCAGAGAGAGAGAGAGAGGAAGTAAAGCAAAGCAGACAACTGAACTGTTGACAGTAAGCGAGGGAAGAATAACAGGGACTGTGGGTAGTTAAAAATGGGTTGGCTGTTTGAAGAGCAGCCCAATCAGGACAGTACCTAGGACTGTGGGGGAATGAACATGGATGAAGGTGTTCATGGTCGGCAGTTATTAAACTGAATGTTGAGTCCTGAAGGCTGTAAGGTGCCACTGTCATTTGTTTGACTCAAAGCAGTTATTTGCATAATGGTAAATTATGATTAATCAATAAATGTCAAAATCTTGATGCAAAACAGTCCATGTTGAGAACCTTTTTTGAAGGCCATTTTATGTTCACTCCTTTATCATGTTATGGCCTTTGTTTTTCTTACTGTTGTTTTGGTTTCATTATATAGCAGAAATTTATAGTCTCTCATCAGAGAATTTTAAAACACAAAATGTGATGATTTGCAGGAAGTTCTGTCTACACTTCAGGAAATGTATCTTAGAATTTATAGCATCAGTACAGGAAACAGATATAGTTGAAGACATGAAAACCACCACATAAATATCTGATTAGCCAGCAACTATTTTCATATCAAATTTCTCATGAAATGTCATTTCCCTTTTTTCTGAACTCGGCTTTTTGATATGATGAAATGAATTATTAATATTAATACTGATTTTAAATTTTAAAGTTTTATTGGTATGTTTTAATATTGTAGGTATTTGGCAATGGAAAGGCCAATGGTGAGCCAACCTGGGCTCTTCTTTTGACAGCTGTTATAGCTGAACTTGGAATTCTGATAGCTTCACTTGATATGGTGGCTCCCATTCTCTCAATGTAAGTGCAATTTCTTGTAAGACCTTTTGAATCAATAGCCATTTTAAATTGTAATCTCTCAGCAGACATCAGTTTCACTGACTTTTGCATCTCTTCCATTTTCAAAAGGATATTTTTCTTTCCCCTGAATATTTTTCTAGATATCTTTTTTGTTTAAAAAGAAAAAAAATTCAGATTTAATTGACAGATATCCAAAACCTAACATTAAACACTAGGCAGAACATGTGCATCATTGGAAATGAATAAAGGCTCCATGAATCATTTTCCAGGGTGGGAGTTCAACATTTGTTTGGTCACTTTTGCTTCATTACCATTTATGCCGATAAATGAATATAAACAAGAGAAATTCTTCCAGTATTCTCTGCTGTGCTTTGGATCTATAGCCTCAACAATTTAAAGTGAAAGTTCTTGAGATGAATGACAGGATCTAAGGTTCAAAGTTTGCTGTAATTTAGTGTTATTGCTCTGACAGATCTTTCTTCAATCAATCAGCTCACCATTTTCCAGCAAATCTCATCACACATTTTCGAAGTTGTTTCTGATTTGATTTGGGGAATAACATGAACCTGCTACCCAACTCTGAATCCCTGTATTTTGCTCTCTTTTTTTGGAAAGTTCTTCCTTGGGCATTTCTTATAGAAAGCCAGATGAATATGATATTGAAATTAAGCTTTGAAACGTAACTCTAAAATAGAAAACGCAAAGAAATCCAGAAAAAAAAAATTGGAAAGAATTTTTTTTAAAATAGGGAAAGTGAACAAATGCAAACAGCGATGAAATCAAACACAAATATGGTGAAGTGAGGGAAAGGACCCCAATAGCCAAAGAACTGAAATTCGAAGAAAGGAGGGAAAGTTTGTGTTGCATTACACTCATTTTTTGATTTCTCCTACAATAAACTAGGAGTTTGGATGCTATTCTGCTGCATGTGATTCTAAATAAATGATCAGTAACTCTGTTGACTTTTCTTGTACCTGTGTGCGTGGCTTTTTACTTATACCTGTTAAGTTTAATTAATAAATGGAAGAATATTCCAAGGGTACAGAATGAAACAAAAATGTGCATTATAGATTTAGCTCCAAATGGCTCTCTGTAGGAAACTGTCCTTAAGAGCATCAGAGACTGAGGGGTGACCTTGTATGGAGATTTATGGAATTGTGGGGGCATGATGGGGTGAATGGCCAGGGTCTTTTTCCTGAGGTGGTGGAGTCCAGGACTGAGGGGCATAGGTTTGGGGTGAGAGGAGAAAGGTTTGAAGGGGTCCTGAGGAGCAACTTTTTCACACAGAGGGTGGTGCATGTATGGAGCAAGCTACCAGAGGAGGTGGTGAAGGCTAATACAATTACAACATGTAAAAGGCATCTGGATGGGTAAATGAATAGGAAGGGTTTAAAGGGATATGGACCAAATGCTGCCATATGGAACTAGGGTCAATTTAGGGTGTCTGGTTGGCACAGATAAGTTGGACTGAAGGGGCTGTTTCTGTGCTTTATGATTCTACAACTATTTGTCTTCATTACTTCCCTGTCACAATGCTTTTTATCTTATGCTTTTCACTTATGTTTGCTTTGTACCAGGTCTCTGGACTTGTTGGAGTAAAGGGATCCTTCTAATTACCTATTATGTTGTGCATGTGACTTTATCCTGAAATAGTAGCTTCAGTTCTTTTATGTGTACTGAAATAAATTTGCATATTTTTTTGACCTGATGATTTGGAAATTTTTTGGACAGTGTTATTTTTAAAAAAAATCAAATCTGACTTCCTGTAATTGTCAAGCAATGAATGTGAAGAAAGTGAAAATGGAATACTAAGAATAAATAAAACAAATGAAAAAAACAATCTAGCACTAAAGCTGGATAATTAATACATTCAAATGGCAAATAATTTTAAATTGTTTGTGAGCACAGTGTGAATAACTAAGATGATACACAACTTGGCAGTATTATGAACTGTAGGAAAGCTTAGTGATGAACTTCAAGGCAACATTACAAATTGTTGGAATGGGCATATACACAGTAGATGAACTTTAATGTCGAGAAATGTAAAGTGACATGTTTTAGTAGCAAGATTGAGAAGAGGTAATACAAAATAAAGTATGCACTTCTAAAGTAATTATAGTACCAGAGAGACTGAGGTAATATGTCCACAAATTACTAAAGGTGGGAGGGCAGATTGAGAGAGTGGTATAAGGCATACCCGATCCTGTGAATTGTAAACAGAGTCTTAGTGTACCAAGAAATTTATGATGGTTCTGTCTAAAACACTGGTTCAGCCACTATTGGAAAATTGAGTGATGGTCCAGTTCTGGGTATTAAACATAAAGAAGAATGTGAAGGCATGAAAAAGGGTGCAGAAAGATTAACACAAACTATTCTAGAGATGAGGAATTTCAGTTACTTAGATCGGAGAAGCCAAGGCTGTTTTCCTTTGAGAGGAAATTTGATAGAGGTATTTAAAATCATGAGGCAACAGGAGAGAGTAGATGTTGCCAATGACAGATAGTTGAGGACATTGGCTTAAGGTCAGTTTCTAAAGCACCATTCTAAGGTTCTAAATTAACAGCATTCTCAGATCATGTTTCTTTCTAGTTACTATTTTTAAAATTGTTCACTGCTATACGGGGAAGAAGGAACCACACAGTTGAGTACTAAGAACAGAAATTCCATCATGTTATCCGAATTTATTCTTTACTTTATAAATATATAAGTAAGATTCCTATTCATGTTTTTCAGGTTTTTCTTAATGTGCTATCTGTTTGTAAACTTGGCCTGTGCAGTGCAAACACTTCTACGAACTCCAAACTGGCGTCCAAGGTTTAAATACTACCATTGGTAAGAACAGGTTTAAAGCATTAAGTCTATCTTCTAACTCCACATGAGTTTATTTATTATGTGTTTTTATATTTTTTAAGACTTGAGGAGCCCATACGAACATTTCATTAGTTTCATTAGCCCTGCAGTTAACACTTTTTAACTGGAGGAAAGGAGAAGTCAAAGCTTCAGGTATTACCTTCCTTCAGGACAGTCCTGAAGAAGGGTAATACCTGAAATGTTGGCTGCTCCTTTCCTCCGTACACTGCCTGACTTGCTGTGTTCTTCCAGCCTCCTGTTTGTCTACCTTGGATTCCAGCATCTGCAGTTTTTGTCTCTAACACCTTTTAACTGTTAACCTCTGGCTTCACATATCAATGATTTGTAAGATTCATGAGCTACACCATTCTGATACACAACAGTTTTTTCAGTTGGGTACAATAGAATTGGATTGGGTTTGATGTATTTTTGTCAGACCATCTTATGAATGCTTAATAGAAGTAATTTTAAAGTACTCGTTGCACCATGAATTCTCCCATCTTATGATCAACTGTGAAATCTGAGTCATGTAAATGCACAACTACATAAATGTAATTTTAATTTGTTTTTCTTCTGTAGGGCTTTGTCGTTTTTAGGTATGAGCATGTGCATTGCACTAATGTTCATTTCTTCATGGTATTATGCTCTTGTGGCGATGTTAATTGCGGGAATGATATACAAATATATTGAATACCAAGGGTGAGTACTTGAAAGCCAATGGTTTTTCTTATCTGCATAATGTTTGAGGGTTTTTTAATTCATCCCTAAGTTTAATTTTTCCGGAGTTATTTTTAAAGAATCATGGAGTTATAAAGATATACATAACTTTAAGGGCAAAAACAATTAAACTCTGGAGCTTTGCTGTTAAAGAGATGGGCCAGAATTTTCACCATAATAATATTACACCAAACAGCACTCCTTTTTCTGTATACAGGAAGTTGTGGTTTGACTGATTTTGCTGATTAGAATCATCAAACATAACCCAAAATTTTCTTGACATTTATTTTGCTGCACACTTTGCTGAAGGGTGTAAAACATTGAATTGTACTCCAACTGTAACATTTTAAACTAAAACTCAGTCCTCATTTGCTGAAGTCAAATTGCAGAGATCATCTCTGCTGATTAGATTGTTTCAGCTGGTGGACTGAGTGAGTGTGAGTTTGAAAAGAAATGTGTTTAGATGGGCAACGTTGATCCTGGGCATTTTAATACCGTCACTATCTAAATTCTACATTTTCTTAGTTGGTTTCACCAAAGAAAGCTTGTGTTGGAAGGCTTAATCCAATGAAAGTACAAATGCTAATGTTTCTCACAATACTGTCATCAAGGAAAACCGAATAATCTTTGAGCCATTGAAACTGCATCTTGCAATTTTCTGCATTGTTTCTGGCCTAACCCTCTGATATTAATAAGGCTGAAATAAAGCAGTCATTATAAAATCCACATTTCCCGGCTGAAGTCATATGTTAGAGTGTGAGGTACCAAAAATCTGTTCTTGTTTTTCTCTATTCATTCACAGCAAGGGGGTTGCTTGTAATTTGTTGCCTGTAAGAAGATGGTGGTAAACCACCAACTTGAATATAACTGAGTAGTTTGCTAGGTCAATTCAGAAGACAATTAAGAGCCAATCTTACTGCTGTGGGTCAGGAGTCATGTATTTTCCTGAGAGAGCTAAGGCAGTAAATTTCCTTTCCTGAAGCTTGACACTGTCCAGGAGAGAGCAATCTGCTTGGTTGGCATTCCCATGTAGCAACTCCAAATTGACTCCCTCCACCACTGATGCACAGCAGCAACTTTGTAACTGCAAGATGAGCTGCAACAGTTCGACAGTTCTCAGCACCTTCCATGGCTATGACCTCTGTCAGGTAGAAGAACAAAGGCAACAGGTACATGAGCACCACCACCACCTGCAAGCTCACCTCTAAGCTACATATTATCCTCACTTGGAAGTATATCCCTTTTCCTTCGTTATCATTGCATCAAAATCCTGGAGTTCCTTCTGTAACAGCACTCTGTGTCTCTACACCTCTTGAGCTGCAGCAATTGAAGAAGGTTAACTTGCCACCTTCTCGAGGTAATTAGTTATTTGCAATAAATGCTGGTCTGGTCAGCAACACCCATATCCTGTCCTGTGATAGGCTGAAGAAAAACTAGACAGGATTTTAGAATAAGCATTTTTTTAACCCAACACTATTACTGATACAAACGTAATATTCCAGACTTATTTAATTAGTTGTTGAATTTAAATTTTTAATCTGCTGTCATATTCAATGGATTAATGTGACTGTTAGTCCAGGTTTTTGAATTGCTGTTGAAAAAAGTAGCCACAATGTCACATTGTCTTTCTTGGAACATTAACTTAACATTTATCTTTTTTTTTATATTCAGCAAATTACAAAAATATAAGTAACTGCATACACTAGATGAAAACTCCCATAGTAGTCAGCAATTGAAATAATTTCTTAACTATACATTACCCATGCCATTGTAAATTCTGCATTTGATTGTTCGGTACAGTGACCAATAATAGCCTTGTTAAAAATTCAGTTACATAAACTTAGTTGGCTAAATTGTTGATTTGTAATGTACTGTAACACCAATAGTGTGGATTCAATTTTTGCGTCGGCTATGGTTACCATAAAGGACTTCTAGACCTCTTGCCTTGCCTGAGGCGTGGCGACCCTCGGGTTAAACTGCCACCAGTTGTCTCTCTAATGAGAGAACAGCCCTATGGTCCAGTAGGACAGTGGCGACTTTATCTCATTATCTATCTTAGTAGTTGGATCTCTTGTTGAAAACTTTTACCTTTAATGCTTTTAAACATTGAAGTTCAAGGATGATGTATATGTCAATTTACTATTATTTTAGGTATTTCAATGATACTGGATTGTGTGACAAACCAGGTTACTTATGTCTTTCTGCAGTGCAGAGAAGGAGTGGGGTGATGGCATTCGGGGCCTGTCCCTAAGCGCAGCTCGTTATGCCTTGCTCAGGTTGGAAGAAGGTCCTCCTCACACTAAGAACTGGAGGTAAAATAATGCAGTCAGTTTGGTGCTTACATTGTGCAAGCTCAAAGTTATTAATAAAATAGAATGAAGCTTGAATGTGTGACAGCAATATATAAACATGATGAATTTATTTGAAATGTGACACAAATCTTTCTTTATATGTGTTTGTAACCAGAATCTGAATCGACTGTGAATTGTAATGATTGTGTGTGCCCTTAAGCTCTGGCATGTTTCATGTCATTCTCCATTTTGCAAGTATTTTACTATATCTGATGTAAGCATTTGAGGAAAAATGGTTGCAGAGTCCATGATAAATTAGAAAGACAAACTAGATTCATTTTGCCTAATTAAAACCATGCCTACTTTTAATAAGTAACCCAGTGTTTTTATGTTTTATCAGTTTCTTATTGAAGAATAGCCTAAAAATTAGAGGTAGACCATACAAGAATGAAATTAGGGAAGATTTTTACACTGAAAGTAGTAGAAGTTTGAAACTCCCATCTACAAGTAGTATTTTATCAGCAACCAGTTCACCTTATAGTACTTCCTTTCTGTGCCTGAATAATACCTGGGGAATATCTTTAACCAGAGGAAAGGTCACTGGACCCAAAATGTTAATTCTGATTATTTTTTTCTTCACGGATGCTGCCAGACATGCTGAGCTTTTCCAAAAACTTCAGTTGTTTTTTATTTTGTACTTAGCTTGCAAACCTCCAATACTAGGTGCATTAGGAATCTCCAAACGACATCTTTCTGCTCCATCCACAACTGTCTGTTCTTAATGAACTCAAAGTAGATTCTTAATTTTGCTAAACCTTATCATCTGGTAATTTTGTAGGATTTTATGTCGGAGGATACATTTTTTGTCGTGTCATTCAGTTTTAATTTAATTGATATCATTACATTTGGGATGATTACTGACCCAACACATCCATATCTGATCTTTTATGATAATTCTGAGAAACACAACTTGTTGTGTTCTCGAGTTAATAATTGACAACACAAATTAAATCTGCAGTTTTAGTATTCAGCTTGAGCGAAGCCTTTCTTGAAGATCAAAGGGCACTTTTGTCTTCCTCAGCAATCTTGCTCCATTCTTTGAGTTCTGTCTCTTCGTCCTGGCAGTGTTCAACATTGTCTTAAGTTTAGTTATGTTGCAGTACTCCACTAATTCTTCAATGCTTTCTTTCCTAGGCCTCAGTTGTTAGTTATGCTGAAACTGGATGAAGATCTCCATGTGAAGCATCCCAGATTGCTAACATTTGCCTCCCAGTTAAAAGCTGGCAAGGGTCTTACTATTGTTGGTTCTGTTATTCAAGGAAATTTCCTGGAAAATTATGGGGAAGCGCAGGCTGCTGAACAAGTATGACTTAATTTTTTTTGTGTTTAAATAATTGCTTGGTAATGCAGAACTTGGGCAAATCAAATCAAACCCTGGTTAGACCCCACATTGAATACTGTGAGCAGGTCTGGGCACCGTACCTTAGGAAAGATGCATTGGCCTTGGAGGAAGTACAACATAGGCCTACAAGAATGATATCTGAACTTTAAGGCTTAAGTTATGAGGAGCGATTATACAGATTAGGCCTGCTTTCTCTAGAATTTAGAAGGTTAAGGGGTGATTTGATTGACGTCGTCACGATATTATCAGGAAAAGACAGGATAGATAAAGATAAATTATTTCCACTGGTTGGGGATTCTAGAACTAGGGGCATAGTCTGAGAATTAGGGCCAGACTGTTCAGGAGAGATGTTAAGAAGCACTTCTACACCAAAAGAGTGTACATGTTTGGGACTATCTTCCACAAACGGCAGTGGATGCTGGATTAGTTGTTAATTTTAAACCTGACATCAATAAATTTTTAAGATGAGGGATATGGGCCAAAGGCTGGTATATGGAGTTAGATCGTAGATCAACTATGATCTCCTTGAATAGTGGAACAGGTTCGAGGGGCTGAATGGCCAACTGCTGTTCCTGTGTTCATTAACAATACCACAGAAGAATTCCTAGAATATGTATGGGATGATTTTCTGGATCAGTACATTGAGGAGCCAACTAGAGAACAGGCCATCATAGATTGGATATTGTGTAATAAGAAAGGAATAATTGGCTCTGAAAAGCCCTTTGGGGAACAGTGAACATTATGTGGTGGAATGTTTCATTAAGATAGAGAGTTATGTAGTTGTTTCTGAAACTAGGATTCTGAATCTAAATAAAGGAAACTATGATGGTAGATTCTAAGCTGGCTATGATAAATAGGGGAACATTACTTAAAGGAATAGGGTTAGGCAGTTGGTGAATAGACAGTTACAAACGTTTAATGACCTCGAGGAGAAACTGAAACATGTTCATTCCTGTCCGGCACAAAAATAAAACCAGAACAGTGGTCCAACCACGATTAACAAGGGAAGTTAAGGGATAGTGTTAAATCTAAGGAAAGTTACATCCAAACTGGCCAATCAAGCAACAGAGCTAAGGATTGAGAGTAGTGTACTTTCAGAAAAGGAGGACAAAGGGATTGAGTAAAACTTAGAAAATGGAATGCGAAAGTACTCTTGTGAGGATCAGACGGACTGATTAATTGTAAAGGCTTCTATAGGTATGTGAGAAAAAGATTAGCTAAGACAAATGTATAGCCCTTACACTCAGAAACAGATGAAGTTTATAATAACAAAAGGATGATCGATCAATTAAATGCATATTTTGTTTCTGCCTTCACAAAGGAGGACTCAAATAACATTCCAAATATATAGGGTGATATTGGGTCTAGTGAAAGGCAGGAACTATAAGAAGTCAGTATTGGTAAAGAAATGGTATTGGGGAAATTGATGGGATTAAAGGCAATAAATTTCAAGGCCCTGATAATCTACATCTGAGTATTTAAGGAAGTGGCCCTTGAAATAGTCAATGCATTGGTGGTCATCTTTCAAGATTCTATAAACTTTGTAACAATTTCTATGGATTAGAGGGCAGTTAATGTAATCCTGCATTTTTCTTTAAGAAAAGTAGATAGAGTGAAAACAGAAAATCAAGACGAGTTAGCCTGACATCGCTGGTGAAGAAATTGTTAGCTTCAGTTGTAAAAGATTTAATAGCACAGGACTTGGAAAACAGTGACATGATTGGACAGAGTCAGCATGAATTTACAAAATGCAAATCATACTTGACAAATTTATGGAATTTTTTGAGTAGATTTGATAAGGGGGAACCAGTAGATGTGGTTTGCTTGGACTTTCAGAAGCCGTTCAACAAGGTCCAACGTAAACGATCTGCATGTAAAATGAAAATGCCTGGGATTGTATATAGTGTACTGACCTAGACAGAGAACTGGTTGACTACAGACAATGAAGAGCCTGAATAAATTAGTCTTTTTCTGACTGGAAGGCAGTGACGTGTGGGATACTGTAGGGATCAATGCTTTGCCCCCAGCTATTCACTAGAGGGAGCAAAAGATAATGCCTCCAAGTAACGTCAAGAAGTGAAGAATTTCTTTTCATGATTGCCACCGAGTTCAGATTCACTGGAACTCCTTGGTGCCTTTCCAAGACCCCTCTCTCACAGAACAATTTTGGAATTCAGGGACTGGATTCAATGTTTTTGAGCTGTTTTATTTCTATGGACTTTGTTAGCACGTGTCACGTCATGGCTCACGGCAATCTTTGTGATGCGACCTTCTGTTCCCCATCTCATTAATTATGCAGCCAGTTTCCTCTGTATCGTTCAGAGATAGTAGGAACTGTCGATGCTGGAGAATCTGAGATAACAAGGTGTAGAGCTGGATGAACACAGGCCAAGCAGCATC